ACTTTTCCATGTAAATCACTTGACTATTATAATCAATAACAGATTGATGCTGCAATTTAAAAAATCAAAGTGGAAAATAACTCTATTCGTGGTTCATTTATTTTTCTAGCTTTGAATATTTTTATAAACTAGGTTGATTATTTAACAAAACATTGCTGAAATCTAAACCATTTGCCAAAATCTAGAAATAAGTTTTCAGTTAAGTCGCACTCGCACGGGCGATGTCCTAGTTTTTGTACTCATTATATTTTGATTTGTTTTCTAGGTGCTATTGCACTGCTTTACCGATGTAATCGAAATGTGTGAATTCCAAGCATTTGATGTTATAAATTCTAGATGACACAACAATGAATATTACATTTTGTTTTTACAAAATGATGAATGAATGAATGATTGAAGTATAAGTTTTTGATAAAATATAAATTTCAACCAGAAAAAAATTAAAAGTTTAATAAAGGTGTTAAAAATAACCTGATTTTATTTATAATATGTCCGTCTAAATGAAGGCCCGTCTTTTCTCAAGAGAATAAAAAAATAAATGTAAAAATAGGTTGAAATTAGAAGAGATTCCTATTCGCAAACAATCCCGATCATTATATATGTCGTTCAATATATTTTTTAAATCCATGGTAACTATGAAAGTCAAACACCCTGTATACTAATAAGAATTATTAAGTAGGCATTTTTTAAAACTACAAATTAAGCCTTAAAAATGTAAAATAGCAATCATTGTAGTTGTAGAAGTTACATAAATATGTTTGAAAACATTTACGAAATTTTAGAAATTAATTACCAAAAATAGTACTTAATTTTAAATAAATTCACAATATTTGCAAAAAGTTGGTTAGCATTTTGAAATCAACTGATCTTTATTGGTTCTCTAACCTGCATTTATCAATATTGAAAAAAATAACAAAATGTTTTATTTCACACAGTTGAACTATCGTGGCTTTTTCAGTAATCTTAAACTTAAATAATTAACTGAAAGTGTCAAAATCAATAAGTTATTCTCAGGATATTTGATGTTTATGGCGTGCATCTACCGATCGTCCAGTAGATAGTAAAAATTAATTTTTTTGTAAAGAATTCTAATCGGTGAGCAACAGTATTTTTGTACGTAAAAATCGATTTGAAGTAGAATTAGTTTTTTTATATATTTAACACGTTCTCTGCCAACAACGTTCTCGCAAACAACCCACAAAAAAATGTAACGTTGCCACATCGATTTAATTTTTTTTTTCCTTAGATATATTAAACTGTTTCATTGGCGTATCTCGTATATATTTAAAATTTTAACCAATCAAAACGGATTTAGGTACGTCCTAAATTAGATTCCGTTTCTATTATGATTTCATATGATAAAAATGACATGTCGCGACATATAACCTAGAATATTTCACAATTCGTTTCTTATCTTATTGACGGAACTTATTCCTGATCCTTGGTAAAATAAAACCTATTAAAATGTGTATAGACACACCAAGTTATGCATTAGGTCATATAAATAATATGGATTTAAGATTTAAGTGAAATATAAATTTTTATTAATTTAGTACAGACAAGCATCGAATATTTGCATTATACTTCATTGATGATTAATCTAAGCCATGTTCAAATTTTACACCCATTAGGTAAAAGGTATAAGTTGCCAATGATAACTTGCCAAGTTTTATTTTTGTGTCATTCAAATTGTTACGATGAAAATATATGTAGCCTTGACAAGGACCTGCGTTTCGTTTTTAACGTTTTATTTATATAGATTATATAATTGTCTACAAAATTAGAAAAGAAAATCACAGCTGGCTGGCTAGATGATTTGTTAAATAATTGATTCCTGTCGTTTTTTTATAGACAACATTACATAAAAGATTTTGTTTGTATATAAAGTATTTATATTGTGAGTACATGTTTTTTTTTTAAAGCTTTGTTTACGATTATATAACCTTTTTTTGTTGTGAACTAGACTGTTTTTCGGTGTTGCACCTGGCTTTGTATATTTATTAAGACGTTATTTACAAATAGTCCACAGTACGTCTACTCCTGCTTTGTTGATCACGACATGCTTAAAACTTTACGAGTCATCTGCAATTTTTCTTTGCGAAAACTCATGGAAACGCCGATTTTTCCTCTGTACGACTTACCGTGTAATGTAAAAATGACGCTTTAAATTTTGCGGTTTTTGAGATGTAGCCGGTGTATTCATCGATCGCCGGATAAATTCTAACGGTCAAGCCTGGTTTCGTGTTTATCATCAAATGATCTTTCAATTGAATTGCAAAAGAAGTATGCGGTCATTGTGCAGAAAACGCAGCGCTTCCGTGAATTTTCTCAGAAGAAAAGTGTTGTATAAATTTACTCACGGAATTTTTAATATGTGGGGTAATCAAGCAAAACAGGGGTAGACTCACTGTGGAGTAAAACGATTAACAATAAACAAGACGTGTACAATATCGCCATAGAAAATTTTAATACACATTGACCACCTATATGAAAATTAAACATAAAATGATAACCTATCACCAATTTTATTAAAAAACAGCTTTTAATTTTTTAATTCTAATTTAAATCTCTAAGAAAGTTATCGTCAAGGATGATTAAAATTAATTAACCATTTAATGAGGATCAATTTAACGGTACCTAATAGAAAAATAACATTAATTAATAAGGAAAAGAAGAAAAAAAATCTTCAATAAATAAATATTAATAGTTTACGCTACATGCACTTTAAATAACAATAACTTATTTACAAAAAAAGCGTGTTAGCATTAGAGGTTATTTCTTTTTAAATCAACTTGAGGTTAGGTTGAAAGATTGAACTTGAATCTATTTAAAGAGGTATCAGATAATAAATAATAAAGGTTATTGAGAACATTTTGTAAATCTACGCGTTTGTGAAATACAACTAATTTTTTTTATTCATTTAATACAATTTATGTAGCAAATAAATGGAATGTTGGATAGTGGGACAATACCCACTATACAATATTTTAGGTTATAACCAACTATTTACGACATAACTCTTAATAATATTGATAAATCCTTCTACTTACCTTTCGTCCCTGTATACAACACATTCCCCTAGGTCCTGTATTAACCCATGTTTCATCTAAATAAAATACCTGTTCATGCTAATTCCTTGCTTCCGGTAGTTTCCTTAAATGATCATGTCTCCATGAAATGATTTCGTCTTTCTCAGTTAAAAACTGTTTGTCTTGTTTTTTGTAACGAAAATTTAATTCATATAATATTTTTTGCGGATGAAAATATGACGCATGCATTTTATTTACTCTTACTCGCAAGTTGAATTAAACAGTCAAGTGTCATAATTTCTTATGTTTGAAAACCTACTGGTACTAATAGGGTACTTAACGTTGAAAATTAACACATTTATGTTAAATCTTTAGCGTATTTCTAGAATTTAATATACTGTTCAACATTACATTCAATTTACATTCATCTTACATCCAATAAATATATTCAGCATTCCTAATTTATTATTTGACAGATCGTTAGAATGCTTAATTGGTAATAGTAAGAGAGCCCACTGCAAATTACGATCGCCATCTGATAATAAAATGAAATATGCTCCAAAGACATGTAACAACATTGTACTTTACCAAATTGCACCTGTTCCAATCTGTAATCCAGAGCAAAGTGGTTAAAAAAAATTATTTTATATTCAAAAAATTACATAAGACATGACAACAATAATTGTGTTTTCTCTGAAAATTACAATCCTAATTCATTGTGAACCTAGCTTTTAAACCTGAATTATTAATATTTTTACCTAACTTTGGCAGAGATAGTCAATAATAATTATGAACTCTTGTTAGACAATCCTTTTAAACCATAATCATAGTAGTTTTTTGTCGTTTCTATGACAACCTGTAAAAATGAATCACTACAATAGGCATACAAATAAATTCTTAAATCAGCAAAAATTGATTCATATTTTTAATGATTTTTACCTACTAATCGTGTGTAGATGTTTTTGTGCGATGTTAAGAGGAAGAAAATGTTTTCCGTTAACGATATATATCAAGATATATTTGAATATGTTATTATCTGGATAACTTTAAGGGCAAACAAAATTAGCGCTGTCATGCCTTATGTGATTTTTTTAATATAAAATATATTTTTTTTTTAATTATTTGCTTAGGATTGGGATTGTCACAGGTGCCATTCGGTAAAGTACAATGTTTTTACAAGATTTTGGGGTTTATTGTATTTCATTATCAGATGGCGGTAAAAATTTACAGTGGGCTCTTGGGCTATTATGATTTGATTCTGTATGCGCCAGGGATACAAATCCTAGTTGCGCAATGTATAAACTGGAACATTGAGATCAAAAGTGCCGACGCAGAGTGAGCGAATTGATTCTTTAGCTATAAACTGTGACTGTAGCCTGCACTATTTCAGCCGATAAGAAAGTTCTCTTAACAGATGAGTACGTCATGAGCGGCATCCACTCCTCATTGGTTAAAAATCAGTACGTCAGCCTCAGGCTGACTTATCCGCTTCATCTGCGTCACGGCGTATCCACTAGTTAACACCACACGCGTTTCCCATGATGGAAAGGGACGCTGTGTCCGCCATTATAAAAAATGTAAAGTAATTCAAATGTGTATTAGTATTAAAATCAAACTAATTTCCATTAATGTTTAGTAAGAGGGGGCCTTGAAACCAACAATCCTAATTTCCAAGAGCTTATGGATCGCGCAGGTGTTAAAATTTTCTTTATTATACAGTCCACGGGTAGAGGTTCAGTATATCGGTGTGATCGCTACAAATTAGCCCTTAGCATCACCTCTTTTATAAGCAATTTTTCGAAACATATGCAGTGTTCTTTAAAAAAATTAATAAATGTTTGACCTAAAGAGGTTTTTTTTTATTGTTTTTTAATATTACAGACAGGAAATATATAATTTTTTATCGTTATTCATAAAAATATGTTAACACATATTTAAAAATATCTAAATTCATTTTTTTTTATTCTTCAGGTATGGTAGATTGCTTCGTACGTATCCCAAAGGAACAAGGTGTTCTCGCATACTGGCGTGGTAACACGGCCAACGTCATCCGTTACTTCCCCACACAAGCCCTCAACTTCGCCTTCAAGGACAAATACAAGCAAGTTTTCTTGAGCGGTGTAGACAAAAAGACACAATTCTGGCGTTACTTCTTAGGAAACTTGGCATCTGGTGGTGCTGCCGGAGCTACCTCCCTCTGCTTCGTATACCCTCTCGACTTCGCTAGAACCAGGTAAGTGAAAATCAATACACATATAGTGCGAAAGAGTCAAAATGATTAAAAATTGAGGAAGAGTGACTAAATTGAGTTAAATATCACTCAAAACACGTAATTCTGCTTTAAAAAACGTGTCATGATTTTATAATGTCAAAATTGAGCACTTCACTTGTCATATTCACTCTTGTTGCACAAACTACTGTTTTTTTTTCTCTCTCTCTCTAGTTATAGATTTCCCTGTATTTACAATTATGCTTTACAGGTTGGCCGCCGATGTCGGTAAAGGTGCAGGTGAACGTGAATTCAGCGGTTTGGGTAACTGCTTGACCAAAATCTTCAAGGCAGACGGTTTGGGCGGTTTGTACCGTGGTTTCGGTGTATCTGTACAAGGTATCATTATCTACCGTGCAGCCTTCTTCGGCTTCTACGATACCGCCAAGGGTATCTTGCCTGATCCTAAGAACACTCCTCTTCTCATTTCATGGGCTATTGCACAGGTAAGCTTCAATTTTTTTAAGTTTAAACACAGATTACAGCCCTAAAGCACCAAAAGTTTACTAAATACATTTAACATTTTAATTCTCCTTTATTTGACAGTTTACAGATTTATTTGACATAGTCACTTTGGCAGTTAGCACTTATTTAACATAGTTATTTAATAGTTGACTATTTTGGCTGTTTACTTTTTTAATTGATTATTGACTCTCATTTTTTACATTTGAAACTTGACTATTTTATTTATCTGTTGATATTCTTTTATTTGACAGTTGATTTATCTTTTATTGATAGTTGGGTCTTTTATTTGAGATAGCTGCTCACTTTTTGACAGTCTATTTATTTTTATTTGACAATTTATTGTACTCCCTCTGACTCACCTTTATTTGACTTTACTCTTATATTTGACTTTACTCTTACTTATATTTGACAGTTTATTTAATCAGACTGATATTTTGACAGTTAAATCTTATTTGCAAGTTAAATATTTTTGCACAAGTAGATTCTTTTATTTGACAATCAGTAACCTTTTATTTGGCAGTTATCTTCTATTTGACAGGTATCTTCTATTTGACAGTTATTTCTTATTTGACAGTTATCTCTTATTTGACAGTTATCTTTTATTTGACGTTGTCCTTTATTGTACGGTTGAATACATTATTTGACAGTTGATTGTCGTGATTGTCTTATATTTGACAGTTGAATGTCTTATATTTGACAGTTGACTGTCTTATATTTGACAATTGATTTTCTTATATTTTATAGTTTGGTTTTTTATTTCAGAGGACGGTCCACTTTTATTAGACGGTTCTCATTTTTTTTTCATAGTTGATTTATTTTTATTTGACAGTTTACTCACTCTGATTCACTTTTAAAGACGGTCAATTCTTTTAACAGTTTAACTTTTATTTGACGGTTGACTATAGTATTTGACAGTTTGTTCTCTTTTATTTGACAGTTGATTACCTTTTATTTGACAGTTGGGTCTTTCATTTTAGATTACGTCTTATTTTTATTTGTCTGTTGACTTTATTTGGTAGTCGACTTTTTATTTGGTAGTTGACTTTTTATTTGATAGTTGACTTTTTATTTGATAGTTGACTTTTTATTTGATAGTTGACTTTTTATTTGATAGTTGACTTTTTATTTGATAGTTGACTTTTTATTTGATAGTTGACTTTTTATTTGATAGTTGACTTTTACATGACTGTTGAATCTTATATATATGACTGTTGAATCTTATATATATGACTGTTGACTCTTATATATATGACTTGACTCGTATATGACTATTGACTCTCATTTGGCTGTTTACTGTTGTCTCTTATATGACTGTTGACTCTTGTACAAGTTTATTTTATAACAGTTAATCTTTTATTTGACGGTTGAATATATTATTTGAGTTATTCTCCTTTATTTGATAGAATAACTATTTTTCATCTCATTTTTTTTATGGTTGATTTATTTTTATTTAACAGTAGACTCACTTATTTGACAGTTGATTTATTTGACTGTTGACCTTTATTTTAAATTTTACTCACACTGATTCACTTTTATTTGACAGTTTATTTGCTTTGATTCACTTATTCGACGGTCGTCTCTTATTTAACAATTTACTTTTTATTTAGTGGTTGATTATATTTGAAAGTTTATTCTCTTTTATATGACTGTTGACTTTTATATAACTGTTTTATGTTGACTGTTTTATATGACTGTTGACTGTTTTATATGACTGTTGACTGTTTTATATGACTGTTGACTGTTTTATATGACTGTTGACGGTTTTATATGACTGTTTACTCTTATATGACCGTTAACTATTTTATATGACTGTTGACTATTTTATATGACCGTTGACTATTTTATATGACCGTTGACTCTTTTATATCACCATTTAATCTTTTGACTGTTTACTCTTATATGACTGTTTACTCATAAGAATGTTGACTCTTATATGAATGTTGACTCTTATTTAATAGTTGACTCTTATTTAATAGTTGACTCTTATTTGATAGTTGACTCTTATTTGATAGTTGACTCTTATTTGATAGTTGATTCTCATTGTGTAAGGTACTTTTTTTGACAGTTAATCTTTTATTTGACAGTTAATAATTTTTTATTTGACAGTAATCTTTTATTTGGCAGTTAATAATCTTATTTGACGGTTAAATGAATATATTATTTGATAGTTTATTTTCCATTATTTGACAGAACAATTATCTTTTATTTGATAGTTTGGTCTTTTAAAATGGCAGCTCACCTTTATTTGAGATGACGGCTGACCTTTTTTTGACAGTTATTTCACTTTTTTGACAGTTTATTAATTTTTGACAGTTGTCTCACTTGTTTGAGAGTTTACTTTTCTCTTTGACTCTTAACTTTACATTTTACTCATTTTGGCTCACTTTTATTTGACAGTTTACTATCTTTTATTTGATGGTTGATTCTTTTATCTGGCTTTTATTTTAAAAGTTGTTTTTTATTTGACAGTTGTGTTTATCTTCTTTTTGATGGCTGACTTTATTTGACAGTTGATTATCTTTTATTTGACAGTTGGGTCTTTGGTTTGAGATGACGCCTCATTTTTATTTGCCAGTTAACTCTTTTATTTTACTTTTTATTATTTATTTGACAGTTGATTCCTTTTGATCATTTATTTCATAATTTATTCTCTTTTATTTGACAGTTGACTACTTAAAAGTTAATTCTTTATTTTACACACATTTGACAGTTTATTCTTATGAGGTTACTCACTTTTATTGGACATATTTCCAATGTGTATTCATTACCTTCTAAAGTTTTTCCATACTTTTCATTTTTAAATTCCATTACCCTTGTATTAGTTGCTAAATTGGTCTTGATAAAAGAAATAAATACTTTTATAGTTTTTTTGCTGTCTTAAAATAAAATCTTTACATCACTAATAAATCAACTATTAAATGATACAAATATCTAAAATGACGTATATATCATATCTCCAATTTTTCCTTCTTGCACTGTAAAGAAAAAACTGTAAACATACATGTTTTTTTTTTCATAATTTATTTAATATATCAGTTATTTATTTCATATTTCTTAATCAGTTTCAATTTTTAATTTGTAATATCAATTTATTGAATTATTTATAGAATATGTTGTAAATTTGAAAATTTATATCTGTCAATGACTCACTGATGAATATTTGACATAATGACACAAAAATCATTTGTCATTTTTTGTTAGTTAATTGCTTATTTATCGGTATTTCCATTGTGGTATTTAATTCTTTATAGCAACATATTTTTAAAAATCGAATTTTCAGTAATGACAAATTATTATTGATCATTGATAGGAAAATTTGAATTATTAATTTGCTTTAGGGGCATAAAACAGTGTATTATTGTATATGATACAAATTTTCAACAGCAGAGTCCACATTATTATCTACAATAAATAACTAATTATTATTCAAAGCGAAATAGTTAGCAATCTTAAAATCATAATAATATTGAACACTTTTAAGACGATTTATAATAATTTGTGCCTGAATGGTTTCCCCTAGCCCTAGATTAAAATAGTACACTTTATTGAGATTAATATTGATGATAAATACTAACGGCAATATTCGCATTTCAGACTGTAACCACCATTGCTGGTATCATCTCGTATCCCTTCGACACAGTCCGTAGGCGTATGATGATGCAGTCTGGACGCAAGAAGACCGAAATCATCTACAGGAGCACCGCTCACTGCTGGGCCACCATCGCCAAAACGGAAGGAGGCGGCGCATTCTTCAAGGGAGCCTTCTCCAACGTACTCCGTGGTACCGGTGGAGCCATCGTACTGGTCATGTATGACGAAATCAAGAACTTCATCGTGTAAAGTTTGTTTATCATTATCGCTAAAGAGGATCGCGCATCACCATCCAACCAACACTAGGGAATTTTTAGCAAAATTTCGATTCGACATTTCTGCTGGCCGTGCTCGTTCAAACCATTCCGAGTGGGAGGGGACCGTAGCGGGGACCTGTGTGACGATCGGTTTTTACCAAATTGACCCTACGGGTCGGAAAAAGTGATGATTTTGATTTAGTAATAATCCGATTGGACGAACCGATCGATCGATCAGCTCGCCGTCACGGTTCAGCTGTCATCCCACCCGCCCTTGCTGAGCACGGCCTGGAGGACAGTGTATATAGTTGTATATTTATTTATTTTTCTGATTACCGCGTAAGTTTCAGTAAGCCCGGGCTGAATATAGAAGACTATATAATATTGTTCTTTTTTGTCATTGGAAAATGCGAATATTAATGGTTTCTTTGTCGAGTTCTTTAATAATAAATAGATTTTAAATGTAATTTTTGAGTTGTGCGGATCGCAAATATACTGTTGTTGTTTCTTTTTGGTTAAATTTTAACTAAAACATTCTTTACACATTGTATCATCATGTCAGTGATGGTTAAATAAAAAACAAAAACATCGAATTTTTTTGCTTTTTTTCTCCCTTCTTTAGGTAGTACTGTTAAATTCCTATAAAACCTCGTCAGTCCTTAAATAGGTATTGAAACAAATAAATAAAAAAAACTTGAAAGTAAGTAATTACGTTAAATCAATTAAATTAGATTAAAAGGAGTTAGACTTTGTTGGTCCTTGTCCACCACGACCTTTTCAGATCTATTGTGGGATTTGTTTGTTTTAGAGTACGTCGTTTAGTTTGGTCTTTTTTATTAGACTTAGTAGTTTTGACTGACGTGGACTGATGTCTCCTCTTCTTCTTCTTCTTCACAGAACCTGCTCAAAGCTGCAATAAAAAAGTATTTACGTGGTTAGCTTTATATCGCTTCATATTAAGCTAAGAGTGTAAGCTTTGTAATGTAGAGGCCTCAATCATTGACAGATACGGCAGTGCAACGTCACCCAAATAGATCTGTTTAGTTAAATGGGTAAGTTTGTAGCCGAATAAATTATATTGCACGCCACTTCAATATTGAAGTTATTGATTTGTATGTCGGAAAAATATCAAAGCTCCCCTATTTACCTTTAAACCCGGTCATACATTGCAAAGAAATTATTTAGTAAAAGAAACGACATGCGTTGCCTGGTGCACTGTTGCCAGGCTGTGTAGTTGATCACTTTCATGTTTAAAAATAGTTTTTACCTATAACCTATTGATAGCAGCAAGTTTTATCAATTAGAATAGTTTCGAGATATATTGCGACACATCAAGCGTCCCCACCAATTCATTTTCGTACCTAGTGCAGTGTTTCCCACTCCGATGCATTATGGGCAGAGTTGTTGCAATATTTCCTGAAACATTTCTAAATAAAATTATTTTTAACAAAACAAAAACCTTATAAAATGTGTACAAAGTATAATATTAAACCATTTTAACTGCTTTCAGCAGCACCTATTTTTAGACTATTCTGTAAAAAATCCTTTAAAAATGTAACTTTTAACCGCCCGTTAACTTTTTTAATCGAAAATAGTATTTTGTATCCACAATTTTTAGAAGACTGTTAAAAATTATTAATTTTAAGGGAGTCCTTTAAAATATCAGGGGAACGCATTGGTCAGTGATTCATTTGAACTAATTTTGACCTAAATAAAGTTACGCATGGGATTAGTCTATTTAACAAAATAACACTAAAATAACCAAATAATTATAATTCTGATTACATCTTTATTAAATCTAAAAATATATTTAAAATATAAATTTGGCAATTGTAAGGGTCACTTAAGTCTCTAATTGACCTTCGATGTAACCTAAATGCTGCTCTGAAATATTAATCCTTTGTTCATTTTCCAGCATTTCTTCAATCAAAACGTCTCTATTTACATTATAAAACGCCGTTTTACTTTGTGTTAGCAGTTTAAAAACTAAAGCATTTAATCAGAACGACTGATTCCACGAATTAGGCATCAGTGGTGTTATTCACGGCTGTATGATTAATCGCTTTTGTATTTAGCCGAAAGAAAATAAAGTTAGTATTGCAATAACCGTGTTTTATTTAACATCCTTTACATTTGTCAAAAATTAAAGGTGCATTTTAACACCCCGTTAAAAATAATTTTTAAAGGAAAACTTATGAATCCCTTTAAATATTGACTAGTGAGTTATACTCCGACAAAATATTGGAGAAGGTGAATCTGCATGATCAACACTGTTGTTCATGAATGAAAATTCCGACAGTCAGGCATAGGCGGCGTATCAAATACCAAATAATTATTTATTAGGTATTTGTTAGTAAGAATATTCAAAAAAACAACGAGTTAATAATTAAAATACAGAGCAACACTGAGATGCTAATTCTCTCAAATACAAATCTTGACTAACTAATAACTATATCCATTCCAATACCTAATTTCGCTAACATAGCAATATTCAAAGTTAATATAACGTCAACATCACTCAAAGCGTATCATGGTAATATAAACAATCGAAACCAAACATATTTTTAAAACATTAGTAAACATTATTAAATTTGTTTGCAACATCTTTATTTAAACAAAGATGATGCGTTAAATATACGTTTTTTGATAGTTTTCGAGAAATGAATATATTTATTCCCTACCCAGACACCACACCAAATCATTTGGATATCTACTGAACATCCCAATATCCACTGAATGTCCAGTCCATGGTGGATATCTATTTTATATCCATGAAATGTAATTTATAGACATAAATAATAGTAATTATATAGCAAATTATTAAAAAATTACGCCATTGTGGCTAATAGTACAGTTCAGATATTTAAAATTATTTTTTTTAAGGTGTATTCAATATCCCATGGACATCCACTATAAATATATCAAAGTCTAAGCGCGGACGCAAACCAACGTGGATATCTACTAGATGTAATTTTTGATTTTGCTTCCTAAGTATAGATGGCGATACCACGTTCGTATCTACTCATGCTCAACCCGCCGTAAATGAGTTCGATAGAATTTTTTTTCACAATCAGACTATTAGAGACTGGAGTCGAGAATTTCCATTTATTGCTGAAGAGTTCTAATAAGGATGACTTTCTTCTTAGTGCCCTTATAGTGGGCAAAATCAAAGGCAGATTGTTGGAAATATTTTGTATCTCTATTTTCTTTCGACGTTACTCAATAATCATTGGTTACTTATGAACCCTCTACTGGCTCTACTAAAGATACCTATAAAATATTTTGCTGGATATCTGAATTCTATATCGATATTGGATATCCACAAAATATATTCTGTGGATATCTCTGGGATTTCTTGTATTGTTTGGAAGATACTCATTAGATATTTTGCTGAATATCCATAGGATATTTTCTATATTCTGGATATAGACGGACATTTGGATATCCATATTAGATCCACGGAATATTTCTGATATCCTGTGGATATATTGGAAATCCACAAAAGATATACTGTGGATATCTCTGGGATTTGGTGTGTTGTCTGGGTATTTTCTGTCACCCCGATATTTTTCATTCTGTGACGTTACATCCCCGTTCCTAGTTAGCGGACGAGATCATCGTGTTAGATAGATAGATAGATAGATACTTTATTGTTTTAAAATATAAAATTTTATAAACAAAGTCTAAGTTCTTATAGTACTAATAGGTATTTACACAATTTAAAATAAAAATATAAAAATGTAATTAAAATAAAATTGGTAAATATTACAGTACACATAAAATTTTAGGTAAAATTATCATTATAAAATTCTTCAATAGAATAATAGGTTTTGTCTACGAACCGTGAAGTTAAATGACTTCAAGCAGAGCCATCTATAAAACAAATCGCCTATCTGATAAATGCCAGGAACTGGAAAATTAATTTATTTACAACCATATATGTAATGTTGTCATTACTAACGTCATTGAAGGTTGGGATGTGTCACATTACACACCTCTACTTCCCGCCCTCACTTCCCGCTCTCACTTCCCGCCCTCACTTCCCGCCCTCATTTCATCTATTCTAGGTAAAAAAAAATAACACATTTTATGACAAATATGACCTATTTAATGGTAAAGAATAAAAAACTACAATGAACTAAAATACAACAAACTACTTATTGATATTTATTATTCGCGAATTTAATATCCGGCTTTATCTGACATTTATTTATATTGGTCACAGTTGTTTACCCCGTAATCACAGTAACAACATATTTACTTGATTATTCTGAGAAAACCGCGCGCTTGGTAATTTGTCGTTAAATGTAATATTTTAGGTATGTTCAGAACGAAACAGAGATTTATTAACTTTGATCGAAATATGATGGTTGTAAATAAAATAGTATACAAACCTCGGTAGGAAGTTTCATTCCTGTCTCGAGATCTAACTAATCTCACGACAGGAATGAAACTTCCCCACTCGGTCTGTAATATACTATTAAATCTGGAATATTCGTTACAGATTACTACTTTTTTACAAGTTTGGTTTGGCCATTTGAGTGAAGATGGCGGGATCATTCACTTTGTGTTATAGTGACTATATTTTTTGAATTAAATTTTAGTCAAAAATTATCATAAATATAATGTGTTAAAAATTTTAGTTTTTCTTTACAAAAAAAGTCTTTAAATTTTGCGAGCTTACAAAGACATTTTCTATTTCAATATAAAAAATATGATGTATTCAACACATGACTTTCCTCTCTAGTAAGGTATTATTGGAGAAATCATGGTATAGGTAGAACAAGAATTATAGAGACTAACATTACTAACAAGCAACTTTTATTTGGAATAATTTTCTTCTCCAAGCGTCAATAACATAGTCCATAAAGTACACCCTAGATTTCTGTCTATGCCCAAAATCTAATCAGCTCACCACAGGATGGATTACAGCTTAAATTTAAAATTTGATGTTTTTCTGTTTTTCCGTTCATGAGCTAGCGAGTATACAAACGCACAGAGACATACATCATCGCGAAAATAGTGAAAACGGATTCAGAGGATACTTTTCTTATCTATATATACAGACAGAAAAGTAATAGTTTGTTCACCAAGAGTGGATATGCTGGCCATATCGCATGTAGACGAACTTAGAGCACGGCGCCCTTCCTTGCCCCCCGTGTGGCGGCGCCCATGACTGACAGTTTGACAGAATTGTCACTTATAAAAATAATAGTAGCCAAATATGAACGTGATATGAACTATAATTGATGGATTTCAAATCCGTAAAGTACTCTTACTAGAATGTATATGAAATATATTCATCTAGTAAAATGCAGTGGCCTACTTTTTATTTCTGTAATATTCTGAGGGCTAGTAGAAAAAGTATTCTGTAACAGCTAATTGGAAGTATTTAGAAAAGTTCTACGAATTTGTTTTCTACCCAAAAAACATCGTTTTTTTGACAGATTCGAATAAAAATTACTTCATATCAATTGACTTGACTGACAGATAATTTACGAAGCGTGTTGTTTGTTTGACAGTTTTTGGTTTCACTCAAATTACTAGTGACGAATAAAGAGAGGGCACTATTTCGGAATATATTCTCCAGTGG